GAGGAAGGAGGGGGAGGAAGGAGATACTTATTTAGAAGTCCAACCATGAATGCGGATTTCGTGGGCCGAACGGCGCCTCCTCCACAACGTGGTGCTGACCCTGCTTCGCCAATGCCCAACTCTGCTGCCCGTCCCTTCCCATGGGAGGTTTTYCCCATGTTTTCCCCACGTTTTTCACGCTTTTTCCCACGTTTTTGACCTGTTTTTCACCCACGCGACCATCGGAGGTCGCTCTCTACCCCGTCRTAAGAGCGACGGCTTTTTTTTCCAGCGGTTTTCACGCGTTTCCACACCAAATTTGCCACCGCGCGAGGTGCAGCCCGGCTCCGCTTGGCTTTGCGGCGCGGGGCCAACGGCGTCAAGGGGACGACGACCAAGCCAAGYCATCGTCTCCTCAACAAGGTCCCGCCCAGGACCTCGCCGCTGTCCTCTTTTTCGCCCAAAATGCCCCGATTCTCTTTGTCCTCATGCCAGGGGGCAGTTGGGTGGTCCGTTTGTCCCGGGGAAGGTCATTAGCGGCGCGTGACCCCAACCGCGCGTCCTCTTCCAGATGGCGACGAGATGCTCCCAAGACGAGATGAGTCGAGAGCGTGGACCCGTCCAAATTTCAGCATTGAAATTGAAAAAAAAACCCAAATATCAGGCAAAATTCTCTGTGCGTTCTTTTTTGGGTTGTTTTCCTCGAAACAAGGCGGTCTCTGGGAAAATCGGGCCCCGCGTCTCCCCGCGTGGCCGCTCTTGAGCTTGGGAGGTGCCTCCAAACCGCAAGAGGAAACGGAGCCTCCGTCCAAGCTCCAACCAGCCCTTGGGTTCCTCTTGGCCCACCAGCGAGAGGAACGTGAGCGCTTATCTGCTCCCTCCTCGCTCCGCGGTCATCCTCGCGCTCCTATCAGGTCATCTCGTGGTTRGTTCTTCTTCTTCGTGTCTCGGCCTCCAACGTCCAGAGAGAAGATGCCACCGCTGATACCAGCCACGAGCCCGGCGACCAGGAAGCGACATCTAACCCAAGCTCTAATCAACGCCAGCGGACGCGCCGCGGTGGTATCTGCTGAGGAGGCCTCGTCGTCGGGCGGAATTTCCGCGGGTTTGGTTAAAACCCGCGCCGAGATGTTTGTTTTTCACAGCTAAGGGCGAGGCTGGAAGTTCTCTGGGCGCTTGGAAGGGGATGGGCATCGGGGTGAAGGTGTTGAGACCATTGCGTGCTTGGAGAGGTCCCGAGGTTGCCTTCACGCCGAGGCCGGCGTGGGAGGCCGGACTGCCTCCCCCTCGTCATTGCGGCCCCCTGAGCGCGACCGGTGGCCTTTGCTCCCGTCCATCTCCACCTTCCATCTCATGGTCTCCACAGAGGAGCCGCCCACCACGGGCCTCCGCGGAGGCGGGTCCYGCCCTCGGGAGGAGGCCCACGGGGGAGGACGCGGCGGCCGCCTCCGGTCAGCCCCGCTCGCCATGGCGCTCCCTGCCCTCCTGCTCCTCATGGGTGAGTGGTTCCTGCCTCCTCCGAGCAGCCTCCTCCTCATCYTCAACGTCCTCCACGCTTTGAGGAGGCCGGACTCCTCCACGGTCTCCTTTACCCCCGTCTCTCGCAGTCGTCCTCCACTCGTCGGCCGCGTTAGGTAAGCCCAACGGGAACCACGGGGCGGGATGGAGGTCGAGGCCGTCATCGTCCTCCGCACGCCGGCTCCTCGCAGAGCCTCCGCCGCGGCCCGGCCTCTCCGCGCACCCCGGCCGCCGCCTCTACTACGAAGGGGAGCGGGTGGCGCTGCGCTGCTCGGCGCCCACCGCGAGGACCGTCGGCGGCTTCGGCTTCTCCAAGCGGAGCGGGGCCTGGGTCTACGCGCGGGCGCCCTCCGGCCTCCCCGTGGCGTGGCTCCAGCTCGCGGCCTCCAAAGCGTCCCGCGGCGCCTACACCTGCGCCTACTGGGTGCTGGAGGCCGGGCGCAACGTCAGCTCCGACCGGAGCCTCCCTCTTGTCGTTGATGTCCAGGGTAGGTTCCTCGCGGGGTCTTGGGTTGGTGGTGGGATCTGGGCTGCTCTTCATGGCACTGCTCCATGGAGAGCCCTCATGGAGGCCTTCACGGAGAGCCCTCATGGGGAGCCTTCATGGAGGCCCTCATGGAGGCCTTCATGGAGAGCCTCATGGAGGCCTTCATGGAGAGCCTCATGGAGGCCTTCATGGAGGGCCTTCATGGGGAGCCCTCATGGAGAGCCTCATGGAGAGCCTTCATGGAGAGCCTTCATGGAGAGCCTCATGGAGAGCCCTCATGGAGGCCCTCATGGAGAGCCCTCATGGAGGCCCTCATGGAGGCCCTCATGGAGAGCCCTCATGGAGACCTTCATGGAGAACCTCATGGAGACCTTCATGGAGAACTTCATGGAGGGCCTTCATGGAGGGCCTTCATGGAGGGCCTTCATGGAGGGCCTTCATGGAGGGCCTTCATGGAGGGCCTTCATGGAGGGCCCTCATGGAGAGCCCCGTCATTGGGCGGCCGGCCCCTTTCTGCCACTCCTTGGTCCATGAGGACCTAGAGGGGGACGAGAAAGAGCCGAGAACAACAGAAGAACCGAGAACGACACGGTTTTCCTGCCAAAAAAGGGCATTTTGTGGCTAAAAAAATTATGTTAATCCCCCAAACCAGCAAAATCACGGGTATCTTTTCAAATCCTGTTGTCACATGTCACCTTCTGGGAGGTTTCTTCTGCCTAGGGGCCGGTATTAATAATAACAATTATTAGTTATTAATTATTAATTATTAATGACCAATTATTAGCTATTAATTATTAATTTTCATTATTATTTATGATTATTATACAAGCTCCCACTGGTGCTGTTCTTATTGCTATTATCATCACCGAAGTTTCACAGCTCCCATTTATTACTATTATTGTATTTTAGTTTATTTTAGTTTATTTTAGTTTATTTTAGTT